GGCATACATGACTGCCTCAAAGTGAGATACAGAAAGATATAATGTGATGACATCCATTTTGTGGAAAGTGTACTTATTAGGGGACCAGAAAGCATAGTGGATAATACTCCTTTACCCACAGTGGATGAGGGTATGACATGGGAGAAGGAGGAGGGAAGTCCACCAAGCATCTTATCAAGTGCTTTTTTATGGTAGTATGTGGAGTGAGACCTCTTGTTAACCAGTGGCCTCAATGGCCAGCCCACTTTGTGCATTTTGGCTTCAAAGAAAAGCCTGGAGCAGGCAACATTGGAAGGGGGGTCCAATGTTGCCTGCTGAAAGAACTGAAGTTACATCCAGAAGAGAGACTATTTTCTTTGTCTTTCTTAACATGACTGGAGTTGGTCCTCCCATAAGATCACAGCGTGTGAGTGGTTAAAGAAGTCTGTGGCCCTGTAGAAAGTCCTCTTCCCTGCATAAGATGAACTTCTTGTCTTTGTCCAACATTAGGAGCCTCATGTTGGCTGCTGACAAGTAACATCTTACAGAATGGTCACAAAGGCAGTTTTTGGCACCCACGGAAGACTGATTCACCAAGGCAAATGTCGAGATGACTGATAGCTCCATTTGCAGGAATCTGGTTGCCGTTTGGCAGCTCTTGAGTGCCAAACGACAACCAGATTCCTGCAAATGCAGATTCCTGCTCTTGAGGTCTGCTGGGACTGCTTCAGAGGCTTCCATGTCATGTAGCGATGGGACATACCTGGGTCCCCGTTGCAATATCTTGGCTACTCACGATGGAACAAGCTCCCCCGTGTAATTGTGAAAGGGGGTTGGCTGCACCGTATTATGTTGTTTGAATGTAGCACAGAGCCATCAGAATTTCTTGTTCAACCTTGTCCTTACCTCTCGAGCAAAACCTGATGTAATACTGTACAATTTCCCAAGTTGGTCATAGAGAGAGACCAGGTTGCAGGATTTGGCAAATTGCAGGTGGGTGGTGTATAATTTGAGTTCAGCGTCTGCCAGACACTTGTGATTGTTTTTGATCAACTTCGAGAGGAGGGATTTTTCCACATGTTTCAAAGCACTTTGTAGTCACAAAGGAAAGGCCCAGTAGTGGATGGTTATGAACTTGGGTGTTACATTATGCCTTCTGCACTTTAACAGAAAGACCAGATGGGCATGTCACAGCTTTTCTAGATTCAACATAGGAAAGAACATCTGTTTTCCATTGCTCATCTTGTAAGGTAATTCAAATACATACTGTGGATGTCATGCCAACAATTGTTCTAACTCAAAGAGAAAAATTCATACAAAAGGCATTAAGGTAAGTTAATGACCTTTGAAGCCAAAACACAAAAATTAATGTTATTAGTTTTCTTATTCTTAAGGTTTTTATGTTACGTTCCAAATGACTAATGCATTTACTGCATTCTCTGTATATTAAGACGTATGTGTGTCAATGTTACGCGTTTTTCAAGTTAATGTTTTAAATTTTCTTTTTCTTAAAGTTATGTTATGCTCCAAATGGGTAATGCTGTTATTGTTTTAATTTTAAAAATCCATTCAAAATCTGTTTCATTCTATTACTGCCTGAGGACAATGTGCATAACTATGTCAAAAGCACTTGCAGGAACACAACATAGGTTCATGATAAAAAGAAACAGTTTAATAATGCAGTTTAAAGGAAAAGGATAAAATTATATTGGAGAACTATAATTTTTTCATTTATATATTTCAGACTACAACCAAACAACAATATCAATAATAGTTTAGTAAATTTTTAATGCATAGAAACACTAATAAAGTTAATAACTTGAAATTTAATATATGGAAATTTTAATGCTAACAAATTTATCATCAGAATAGACATTTAAATACTACAAAGTTATTTTATACAGAGTACATAGTAAAATCCTTAAACACTGACAAGTGTGAGTGATGCACAATGTATGACACACAAAGATATAGGAAAATGAAAAATATGTGATATAAATAAAACATAAATACACATTTTACTGTCTTTGCTTGATGTGCACATTAGCATTTCACACTTTCTCTTCTTGTATGCAGGAGTTTTTCATACTAAATTGATCATGCTCTTTGACTTTGTAATTGACTTTCTTCCCATACTGTGCACCATTTTCAAGATAGGAGTGCTAATTTTGAATTTTATTGCTAGGTGTACTGCAAGTGATCTTGTCTTGTAGTATTTTGTCAATTTACTGTAACTATACATCATATTCATAACTTTAGCTATCTGAGTTTGTCAGTTATGTGAAGGTATAAGAACTTTATTATGCATGCTGTACATTTTAGAATATTGAATGCAAGGCATTCATTTTTTTTAGAAACTATTCAGTCAACAGAGCATTATAATAAAATATATGAGAGAATTTTATTAAAGTATTTTAAAAAATGACTATATATTTAAATTATGATATATTAAAAAAGTTTTTTTCAAATGTTTTTGATGACCTTGTAATATACAACTCTCATCTTAGCTCAATTAACCAGATTAATTTAGTCACTCTTACAGTCCAAAAAAAAAAATTTGGGATACCCAAATTTTTAAAACAGAAAGATCTCTTGCACAAGGAAAAAAATGCATGTGTTATTAATATTAGTGTAAAAAATTTTACACTAATATTATGAACATTTAAATTTTACAAGTCTTTTAGAATTTAATAGTTGAATTAATAGTCAAAGAAAAAATACATTTCACATCTACTTAGTTGTGTAAAAACTATTCCTTGCAAAATGCAAAATTTAAATTTATATAAATCTATATATATATATATATATGGCA